TTTATAATCAAAATTCAAAAAGGAAGGAAGGAAATAAATAAGATTAAAAAAAAAATCTCTCCTCCAAACCTAAACCTCACAGAGGCCTACAGAGCTCCAGAATCCATTCTGCGGGGATGTGACTGAGGTAACCGCTGGCTGACTAGGCGCCCCCACAACACACACATGCACAAGAGCTTCTAAGGGTGTAGGTATTAAGCGGTCTGAGGAGGGGCCATGTGGTGCATGCTGACTGGTCTGCCCTCAGATCGAGAGGCCAAGCACAGAAGTAGGCCCCGGCTATTTGTGTAGCAAAAAGAAAAAAGACCAAGCAGCACCGGCTGTGGGGGTGCACACCTATAGTCCCAGCTACTCCGGTGGCTCAGGCAGGAGGACTGCTTGAGGCCAGGAGTTAAAGATTATAGTGCACTATTATTGTGCCTGTGAATAGCCACTCCACTCCAGCCTGGGCAACATGGCGAGACCCCATCTCTTAAAAAAAAATCAATCAGCAAACCTGACAGAACTGAGATAATTCTAGGAAGTGATTATTTGCTTGGAATAAAAGCAGATGGGCTGTTTTAAGACAAATCAGTGTCAAATGTTTTAGGAGAGAGGGAAGAAGAATATTAGAAGGGGAATGGAAAGAGGCTGCAGGACAGTGGTCGAGAATCCACCCCTGGCATCCCAACACTCCACGGTCAGACAAAAGCAAACCAGCCATGCCGTGAGAGACACGTGCCATACGGCAATGAGGGAAGATGTCATTGCCTTAGATATGGTTAACCTGGAGCAGTACTGTCCGCTCTCACAGCACCGTGTGACATCCCTGGCAGTTACATCAGACGTCTAACATGAGGCATGTGGAGCAGGCTGGGGGCTTCGGAGCAAGAGTAGTCCCAGAGGGCTGACTCCAGAGCATTGTGGTTGCTTGGGAAGAGGCATCAGAGCTGAAACTGTTTATCATTCTTTGATGAGACAGCCTCTTGGGTGTCTGGGATATAACCGTTTTCTGCCCTAAATTAATATTCAATGAGGAGAAGCCTGCTCTTCCGGTACAGAGTTCCTCAGTACAAAGCATGAGGCTTTCTGTCAGCAGAGGACTCCCAGTGGGAAACCAACCGGAAGTAGCAGCAGACACACACCAACCCAGAAAGCAGGGGAGATAACCAACATAAGAAACAAAAACACTTCTAGGATAACATAATCATAATATGTGTATGATTATCAATGGCCATCACCTTGGGAGTACAGGTATGTAGCATCCATAATATTATACATAACACAGAACCCCAACATAATCATCACGAATCCTAGAGTTAGGAACAATCTTCAAAGTCTGTTCTGACATCCTGCCCAACGGGGAAAGCTTGTTGCATATGTGGGATGGTTTATCAGTGGCTCTTTTGAAACATGTCATGATATCCGATTGGTTGCTAAGTAGAAAAGAACCAAACGCCTCCATGCTCTCTCATCTTGGAATGGTTCATCTGTCAATGCAAGGCTATCTGTTTCATACCTTTTTCTATCTAGATCAGCCCAACCAATGAGACAGACCACCTTGGTTGGCTGCCATGTTGCCAGGTGACCAAGCCTTCCTGTAATCTCACCTGAATGCCCTCTCCTGTGAGAGCTGAGCAAGACTGGATCTGCCAGATTCGGTCGCGGATGGTATGCAGGTTCAGTCCTTCTGCGATTTCAGAGGCGGGGGCTGCCGTGAGCAAATCCTGCTTATTAGCAAAGATGAGCACTGGCACGCAACTTAGCTTTTCTTCCTCCAGTAATTCGGCTAGTTCCTGGATCATTTTAAGGAGGAAGAGGGAGGGAAGGATGAAATGATATTTAACCACACACTTCTAATTACAAAAAAACATAAGAGTTAAGCTGATCAACTGGCAATTTTTAAGAGCAGTGATTCTCAAACTTGAGCCTGTGGAAGAATTCCCTGGCAGGTTCCTTGGCCCAACCCAGAGATACTGACTTTGGAAAGTCTGAGCCGGGGCTCAGGAATCTGCATTTTTAACAAAATCCCCAGGTGAGTCTACTATAAGTGATTCATAGATCACACTTTGAGAAACACTGTTCAAAGGAGAATACAAGGAGCAGTTAGAGATTTAAAACTTACTCAAAGTTATTATCTGCAAATAACTTTTTTTTTTTTTTGAGACAGAGTCTCAATCTATCACCCTGGGTAGAGTGCAGTGGTGTCATCATAGCTCACTACAACCTCAAACTCCTGGGCTCAAGCAACCCTCTGGCCTCAGCCTCCCGAGTAGCTGGGACTACAGGCATGTGCCACGATGCCTGGCTAATTTTTCTATTTTTAGTAGAGATGGGGTCTCGCTGTTGCTCAGACTGGTCTCCAACTCCTGAGCTCAAGCAATCCTTCCGAGACATCTCGGCCTCCCAGAGTGCTAGGATTATAGGTGTGAGCCACAGCGCCCAGCTTGCAAATAACTTTTAATGCATGTGTGTGTGTGTGTGTGTGTGTGTGTGTGTGTGTGTGTGTTTATAATTTAAACTCAAAATGACAATTGCTTTAGAGATTATAACTCTGTTTCATCAATCTCTGTCTCTAAAACATGCATGCACATATATTACATTTCATCAAAATCACATCCTCAAATAACTTTATTAGTCCATCTGGCAAGGTCCCTGATATTTAAGTTATATGTTGGGATCTAAACTATAAGTTCATTCTGTCTACAATAAGTACTTTCCCATTAAATCCATATTTTGGCTACTTAAAACACTTGGAGCTCTCGAAGAGAACTAGATGGTTCAAGAGGCAGATGACTATACGTGACCCTTCCACCTCCAAGCTCACACTTAGCACTGGTTCACATGAGTGATGATCCAGAAATCATCAGGGTATGGAAGGGAGATGGGTTGTCTCCAGGCATCTAGAGAGTTCTCAACCCAATTTCCAAGAAAAAGGAACATAAACATGGGGATTGCTACCTTTGGAAGGCCACCTGCCGAAGTTTAGGACACAGGCCAGGACTCTGCATACTTCTCCAAAGAGATACACTCCTCAACCCTCCAGCTTCTTCTATCAGTGAACCCACTGTGGGTAAAATGGTCTATGCCCTTTGCTTCTCTATGTAAAATTGTATTCACAAATTACATGGTGTAATCATGTTGATATGTGCCCTTGCATCTGAAGCCATATTTGGTTTAGGCACACCTTATCCCCTGGCTTGAAAAGAAAAGTGGCTTAGTTGGCTTGTGCAATTCTTCTCATCCTTTCAAATTAGTCAAAGTTAACCCTGGATCAATTACGTGGGTATTGAAAAATATAAACAGAAATTATAAGTGAATTGTTCCTTGGGGTTCATTTCTTCAGGAAGAATGCCAAAGAGCTTTTGGGCATGGTGCTAAGTTCCATTTGCTTATATCTTGTATATTCAATTTGATTAAAGCTGAAAGGCTTTCGGCCAGGTGTGGTGGCTCACCCTTGTAATCCTAGCACTTTGGGAGGCTGAGGAGGGAGGATCATTTGAAGCCAGGAGTTTGAGGCCAGCCTGGAAAACATAGTGAGACCCCATCTCTATAAAAGAATAAAAAAATTAGTTGGGCATGGTAGGGCACACTGTAGTCTCAGTTACTCGGGAGGCTGAGGCAAAAGGATCACTTGAGCCCAGGAGTTTGAGGCTGCAGTGAGCTATGATCTCACCACTGCACTCCAGCCTGGGTAACAGAGTGAGACACCCCCCTCTCTAAAAGTAAATAAATAAATAAATAAATAGCCAAAGGCTTTAAAAAAAAATTGTTTAACAGACTCCCAACTAATTTATTTTTTAGACAACTGGCATTTTTGCCCATTTGCCAGAATGACCGTCCTGTCTGAAATACAAAGGTTCAACAAAAAATATCTCTCTCACTCTCACACATTTACAAGGTAGGTTAATGAATACCCAGTTACTTGGGAAATATCTTAACAAAATAATAATTATTTTTTCATATTAGACCTTCGATATAAAACAGAAGAGTTACTTACCTGACCCGTCTCTTCAAATCTTTTTCTGTCGGCACTGTCAATTACATATATCTGCGAAGAAACGGAAAAAGGTTACTTTAACGGCAGAGATAGAAAAAGGGCAACTTCTACGAAAGGAGCAGGTGATCCCTAGTCAGCAGCTTTCCGATTAGCACAATATATAGAAATTGGTCATTCTCACCTCATCTATGGACGCAAAACAAACTATTAATAATAAACTAATTAATGAATGAATTAAATGGAGATGCACAGAAAATACCTCCAGCAAAGCTCCAAAGTCTAGGAATTGAGGAAAGCCAAGTGGGATAAAATAGCTACATTTAATGGGCACTTGATATGTCACTAAACATTCTTACTAGATCTACTCTATTAATCCTTGTTACAACTCTTGATATAGATTTAATTATTTTCCCATCTTATACATAAATAAACGTAAGTAACTTGCCCAAGTTACATCTGGTACTTGACAAACTCAAGCATATTTGATGGTTAAGGCCACAGTTGCTCTTAACCACTCTGCTATACTGCTTCCCAGATTGTCAGACTGGAAGGGGTGGTATTTTGAGGCATTTACAATCCTATATTTCTTGAATACTGTCATTCTGAAAGTACCATTTGCAGCATTAACTACATGCTGACTTCAGATGTCGACATAGGAGACACAGTGATCTCCTCCCATTCCTACCTTCTCAGGCTGCTCTGCCTAGAGGTCAAGATCAAATACTGGAAATAATAAGGGCACTGGCTTTGCCAGAAGCAAGAGAAGTCCGGAGATTTATCAAAAATTACAAGTCCCAAGCTTTCTCTCTAATCCCTGAATTTTAGTTATTGCATAAATAACGTCCTATAGCAAAAAGCAAAATAATGTAAGACAAAAAAGCAAGAAAAATCACCCATAGTTATAGCCCCCAAAAACATTACCTACTTTTATTTCCTATGGAAAGCTCCCTTCTAATCTTCCTTCATGAAATGAATGAAAATAAAAGAAAATTAGAGATATAATTTTGTAGTTTTTTTCATTAAATGATGTATTAAATGTTTTCCCACTTGCTAATCTAAAAATTACCAATTTTTCAAACTTCCTTTAAAGAATTTAAAATTGAAAAAAAAAACCAGAAAAAAAAGAATTTAAAATTGTTATTAAACTAATGGTATAATGGAAATACTCTCTTTTAGAAGAGCATATTTAGAAGAGCAAAAAGCAATCTTCAACTCTCACCATTATATGCCTTAAATTGCATAAATTACATGCATTCTGTACACAAGTCAAATTCTGTGTTAAAATAAAAATCCATTCTTTTGGGAAAAAAACAATTAAAATTCCTTTGCTTAATGCTCTCTCATTTAGAGTCACTAGTGCTAAATATCATACCAGGAACCAAGTTCAGCTTTTTTTCTCAAGAATACTCTATGTTTCTACTTGGAGAATCATAGGAGGAGGAAGGATGAGTATGTGTGGCTTCAATATTTTTTTGTGGCCTTATAATAATAATTTTTGTTGTTAATACTACTCTGACTCAATGTCAATACACACATTAATGGGTTCTGCACACCACCGACACCCAAAATTCAATGATGACTATCTGATAAGTCACGATGCAGAACATGGTGGTAGCTTAGTTTTCTACCAGCAGAGCTCATGTTTTAGAAGCAGCATGTATAGTCCAAGAAGATGTGAGGAAGGGAAGAAGGGTCAGGTGATTGCTGGGAGAGTGTTTTGGGCTGGGACGCGCTGCCTGGAGGCTATGTGTGGGTCCTTGGGCAAGAAAAGAATTACAGAGCAGGAGGAAGCTGTGCTGGGAGCAAAGGTAGGAATAAAGGTGAGAGTAGGGGGAGGAGGCTGACATAAGGCTGAGAATGGAATTAACCTTATAGTTAAGAAATTGATGTTTGATATGATGAAAAACAGTTGGGAGAGGATGATGAGAGATGGAAAGATGTTTTATTAATAGTAGTAGACAAAAAAGATGACCAAATTTTTTTTTCATGACTAGATTAACCAATACCAGAGAACCCAGAGGCTGAGAGTCAATGAGAAGAAAGCTTTAATTTTCACTCATAATTATTTGCTATTTATTGCTTTGACATGAAATTTCACAGGAAACATTTCCATTACAAGATTCAAAAGAAGGATTTTCCAAACTATCCACAAATTCTTCCTATGATTTAGCATTTTTCTCAATGAACTTTTGTAAAATTTGAAAATGACTACAAAATAATTCCAAGAGTTTAAGTCTATAAAAGAACTGCCCCATCTATTTCTTAAGAAAAGGGCCAAGTGAAAAAGTAATAGGCATAGGCTC